AGGGAGATTATGGTAAATATGTCAGCAAATGTTAAATGTCTCTCGTTTGTTTTGTAATCTCTTAAATCAATAGATGTTGTATTTGTCATAAAATCACGTATTAGGACTTAAAATTACATAAAACATAAAGAATATTTCTTATTGCACTCATCAGTTGAAAAATATAATTTGACTCCCAAAAGATTTTTATTAAAAGTGAAATGTATTTTTCACAGGCTTTGTCAGCATTTAGGAATTTGAAATTTCCATGATGATATTTTATAAAACGCATAAAGGAATAAATCTAGAGTCTAGAATAATTAAAAGAGCGTTGGATCCTGCAGACGATGTCAATAGAGGGCGTCATTAGTAGTAGCATGTTCCTTAGTCCTTTAAACGTCGCATCCTTTCACAGATCTTGTCGCGGTGTTTCGCACATTAACTTATCTTTATACCGCTTGTTTGAGTAATATAGGCGGGTGATTTCAATTTATGGTACAATTTAAACCAAACAAGCGTCGGTTTTTCGAAACGAGGACATGGAGTTGAACAACAATACTTCGTTTTTTTATCGGTGTGTTGTCGAAACGTGTTCTACAAAAGTATATTCCACGTGTGACGAAAAATTTGTAGACTTCTTCCAATATAAGAATTTTGATCTAATACAAAACTGTCTGAAAATCTTACTGTAGAAACCTAAATAAGTGCAAAATATTAAACATGATAGTTAGTTTATTGCAGCTTTTCAATAATCTCACTTTTTTGTTAAAGTATATTAATTTGTTTGGTAGACCTCTTTGATATTATTTTGTGATTAAATTATCATTGAGTTGTTTGCTTAGTGAGTATACATGGACCTGTTGGACATTTAATATTACATATTTCATTGGTATTGGACAGAAGTCCCAAATGAAGCTCTGAAATAACAACACACACAAATACAGGGCATATTGACAGCTACAATACATACGTCTTGGTTTAAAATAACCTATTCTTTGAATTGTATAAGCATTATTGAGCAAATTCAGTACTACAGAATAAGTACTCTCATTTGGATGGTTAAATAGTTGAATAGTTAATAATCGATAGTTAAAAGTTACAAAACTATAAATAAGTTAATGTGCAATAAATAATGTTCACTATTCGATTACGAGTGACTCTGTCACCTTGATGGGAGATTTTAAAAACCTGCAAGGCATTACTTTCGGGTTGCAGAAACATGTAAATCCTCCGGAACAAGACAGCTACATGGGTTTGAGGTGAGCTTTAGACGAGAACGCTGTTTAATAAGGGATCAACTCGGTCAGTCGCTGGCGCAGGCGAGGAGCTAGGGAAGCGTTACATTATGAATGTAGCCCAACAGGATACAAAAGTCCTTTAATTGTTTGCCTGCGGACAGTCCAGCAACACACGTCATTCGCCTACAACCTTTACGTCAACTTGGGAAAATAATCAATTCCTTTCGTTAACTAATACCTTAAAACCCCTTTAATTTACAACAGACGGACAAATTGTAAAACGGCTGAATTGATACAAAATAACTGTATAAACTTTGGACCGCTAAAATTTTACTTATTGATTAATTTTGTCTTAGTAAACAAAAATTACGTTTTACATCCCCATTTGACTTGAACAGATCTCTTAAAATTGGTTTCAAAATTTTATGATTTAATTTATTGTAATGTGTTTTAATTATCTTGGTTGGTGAACGTTTTGATTTAAGTTAAAATGGTGAAGTAACCTAAAATAAAAAAAAATCTTTGTTTAGCAGATGTTAAAACTCAACCCTTTCAAATTGCCTTAATATAGCCTACAATAAGACATTATTTACGCTATTTCTTTCTTTTAAAAATTTTAATCTGCAGTGGGGAGTAACGTCTTAAAGACTTTCAAAATAAAAGAACTTTTGGGACCTATAGTTACTCAAAGTATGTACAAATATAGTAAACTTACTGTATTTTGAATGTTTTTTTTTGATGTAGTAAAATATTCTTCTTGGATTTCAAAATATATAGGTAGAAAACATTATCAAAACTACATTAAATGTTGAATTAAAATTCTTATAATTATATGAAATTTGTTCTAAACTTAAAATATTAATAGTTTGTCTTTCTAAATATACAATAAATACAGTGGTATAGAGAAGGTCTATACATTGTGTATAGGATGTGTACAGTCAATGTGTATAACAAAGAGTGTGTGGGGAGTTGATGTGGGGTAGAGTATAGTGGGGGGTGAAGAGAAATAAAGTTTTAGTGCCTAGGGACAGTGGTCGGCAGTCGCAGATAACCTATTGTGTATTGTTGTATTGTGTTGCTGATTTGCCGATGAACTCACCATTGTTGAGCATGGTTTGCAAGAAACTACATAGTAAACAATCATTAACCATAACGACATTAAGGATTAAAATTGCGTTCTATGTTTGCCTGATGTGTAAAACTAAAAAATACAAGTATTTTAGAAATAGCATTGGGTACTTGTATCAGTTAGTTGTAAAAAAGGTTGAATTTACACCATTAATTCGGCTATAACCTGCTAAATGATGGTCAACATTAATGTTGACTGGAAATCATCCTGAATTTTGACTTTACACTTCACACTTAACAAAATTCTACTGACGTGATATTATGGATGTATAAAAATGTTTATAGAGTTTAGTAAATATGTCACATGTTTTTAGATGGATATTTTTTTTTCAATTAAAAAGTTGTATCGATATGAAATTAAGTATTTTTATGCTCTATTTAGCTTTTTGAGCTCATGAGTGGCTTTATAGCTATCAACAACTAGATTTTGGCTTAATAGGTTGAGATAGTATATTGAAGTTTCTTTTTTCTATGCCATTAGAAACATAAAAATCAAACGCAAATTGTTGAGACTTTCTTTATTTACTATAAATATTGTAATTTTTAGATTTATATGCATTTTAATCATAGACATTGCATTGCGAGTGCAAAAAGAAGCATGCTGATAGCTTCTTTAGCTCAAGGATGAACGTTTGATGTGATTAGCTTTTCTAAATACTCGCTTTTAGTTGGATTTGAACTAGAACCCATGGGTCAAACATTCATTCTACCTTTAAATAGGTCTTGTGTGCAACAATTATATTTACTCTAAAATAAGCATCTTGAGTTCAGCTGCAGAAATAATATGCCTGTTAGAAGAGAATGTTCACTTTTAAACTTTGCATTTCTTAGTAGAGTACATTGCATATTTATTTTTTATGCACTATGAAGTTTCACTGAACTTGCTGCAGTTTATACATAATTCTTTAAAAACTAGTTTTAAATCACAGAATTAAAATTTAAATCGAGCATAGAATACATTTTTAATAGCATTTAGCCAAAGTTTAATGGAATAAATTGAAAGTGAACTCAAATTAATTGTATTAAAGGTTTGTTGCACGTACTAATACAAGACTAACAAATATCATAATTAAATTAAGCGAACACAGTAAATATATTTGGAAAAAATATGACTTTCGCACAACTGTAATTTAATTTCTTAAAAATAAGTGTAATAATATTTTACTTAATTATTTTCAATTTTTGAAAGCTTAGGTATGACTTATCACAGAAAATTATTTATAAATATATTACAAACGAAAGGATCAAATTATCAGGAACTACACATGTTTAACACGAGCTGTGAATCAACATTACGTTTTTAGCTACTTTATCCACCTACATTAATAACAATGACCCCACTAATGCAAACACACTTCTTAAAGGAATTGAATATAATACTAAACAACCTAGTTTTAACCAAGAGCAAATTCAACTTAAAAACAAAATTTCCAATTTCTTTACCTTCGTAACGTACATTATTAATTAGTTGGCTATAAATACTGAAGTCGAAATTTCATATAGTTAAAGTAGAACAGGTGTGCTAGAATCAGCATAGTATTTCCCACTGTAGCAATAAAATAAGAATAAACTTACCGAACTACCAAATTGGTATGCTTGTGGCAATATTTGACTTTTATACTTTTTTATGTCATAAATTGAGGGTATGACTTTTTATGTGACACCCCACTATTTTTTGCTCCCCCTTGAAAAATCTAAACCTCTGAGGGAAGCACACAGTCGATTAAGCACTCTATGACGTTATAGTGCTGCACAGCCTATGGTGAACCAAAGTTTGGGTCCGTGTCCTAGTCGGACATTGTTCCAAGGACTTGGTCCTGGAACAGCCTCAGTCCGGTTGGGTTTCGACTCCCTGGACTGAAACATCACGAAACTAACTAAACGGTGAAACGTCTAGTCCTTAGTAATTATTACTGCATTGCCACGATATAAAAGGTATCAGAGAGCTCAATAACGCCAAGTAATTTTCTGTAGATAAATATAAATGCGATACTGTTGTTTATCTAATAGTTTATTCGGTACTTTGGTATTATACCGACCACACCTAATAATTATAACCTAACCTAGCCTAAGGGTGGACTATGTTTTAGCATAGACAAAAAGAATTAAATATAGACTGTCAGTCGTGCTGTGGTTACCATGGTTACCATAGGTTCTGGCGCACATCGCTGGGAGCTCCGAGTAGTTACGTAGCGCGTACGCCGTAACTACACGGCGCTCCCAGGGGTGTGTGCCAGAACCTATAGTAACCGCGGAACAGCTGACGGTATATATGTAATTATTTTTGTCTATGGCTTTAGGTAAGGTTAGGTTTGGTTAGGTTAGGTTGTGAAGATTTTGCTATAAAACTAATTATAATCTTATCTGGAAGTCGATTTATCGGTGTGGTATAATACCAAAGTACCATTTATTCTGTTATAATATCCGGCCTAATTGTAAGGACACGGACTCAATCTTCACAATAGGCTGCCCAGATACTCATGTGATTCTACAGATCACAAACTCCAAACTTCAGTATTCATAACCATCGCACAATTTTGCCTGCTTATTGCCTGGCTTTCAGTAGAGAGGCCGGCATGCTTGCCAACCTTTGTCCCCAATTTCCCGTATCTGTGGGAATGACTCGTCTCTATGTTGCAGGACTGGCGGGGGTAGTATGCTGGGGGACGTCAACATCTCCGCCATCTTGGACTCCTTCAGTGTCTCTTATGACAAACGAGTAAGGCCCAACTATGGCGGTAAGTACTCTGGCTTTCTAACGGAGCTTATAGCGTAGTGTAGGTGTGAGTGACCACTTTCCCAAGCGTACATTTCAAAAACGTTTTACTAGTTGATGATATATAATGCAAAGATATGGATGGTGAATGTTTTTCCAAATAAGATTATTGAATTTTCAATGTTAAGGCCGATTATTAAAGCTTTTTGGGAGCCATTACGTAATAGTTGCCATTAGGCGAGTCAACTGCGAGATGGACTTAAATCAATGACAATGGTGTCATGGGTTCGGATCCTGGTGCCCGCAACTAAATCTTCTGTAAAGGATTACTTCTTCCTTTGCTGGATTCGTTTCAAACCCGAAGACTATGTAGAAGGGCAAATTCAGGGGGGAAAGAGGCGGTCACCCTTTTTTATTCAAAAATTATTTTGCTTCTGTCTACTTTTCATGGTATACGCGTGCAATTCCAGTGGCTCAAATAGTTTCTTGTGACATAAAATAGGATTTTTTAACTGAGCTGAGCTGAATTGAAAAAAATTAAGTCAACTGTACAACCCATCTTCACTGGGTGTACTATATGACCTGATTAGGGCCTCCATTTTAGCAAATCGCTTCCAACCCAACTAGTTCAGTGGAACAGGACAACGTGGAAGCACGTATGCAAATTCCGATTACTGCTAAGAGATTTGAGTGAAATATAGTTCGTCAGGTAAAGCAAAACAAATTCAAACATAACAAATTATAAAATCAACAAACCTAAATCAATGTAGTCTTAATGCAGGTTAGTAATAGTTAATCATACAAATAAAAAACGTACTCAGATAACACAAAACTACGGGAATTTATGCAATGTCGAGGTTTTATAGAACATCATCGGTGATAAGCAGCTGTCAAAGATGTCTATAGGGAAATTTTCCTAAAATTGTTTGTGCCGGTAAATAAATATTTAAGTGGGAACAGCTGATCTTATAAACATAAACTATAGCCAGCTGTTTCACACAAGGTGATTTACAGTGTTAGGTATTGATTGCCGTAGCTCATCTCAGCATTAAAACGCTGACACCACTGAATCACGGAACACTATTAGGTAATAAGCCATGAATCTGCCTACTTATCCGCACGAAGAGTTATGATAGGCGTCGAGAAATTGTCTTTAAAATTGTCATTCTAGACTTGCTATCTGGTGTGTTCTGTGTAAATATAGTTTCTCCATTATTGTTACAGAATATTTTTCTATAATGATCAAAAATATAAAACAAAACACAACTACTAGCAATAAACTAAACAGTCATGTGATTTTCTTTCTCTTTTAGTCATTCTTTCATACTTCTGATTTGACCCTTGTGTATTTTTAAATTATATTTATCGCCTTAGATAAATTAAAACATCTATTGAAAAAAATAAGGTGTATATATATATTATGCTAGTGGAAACCGTATAATCTTATATCCTTGAAAATAACGGGTTCTTTTTTCAGAAGAGTGCTGCCACCTTTTAAACTGTGGAATAACCACATTTTAGGTTGGGTTGGGTTAGGTTAGGTTAGTTTATAGCTACTCACATTTTTTTTTATTTACTGAACAGGAATAAATCCAAAAAACTAACCACTTAACCTAAATCACCTAAAACGGTGGCTTTTCCACAGTTTAAATTGTGGCGGCCCTCTTCTGAAAAAGACCCAAATAACGCCAGGATGAATCAAGAAATAACTCCAAACTGTTGAAAATGAATTGGCAATACGGATCAACTTTCATTATTAGACATCAGATACGAGAGTTACCAGTTTAGAAGGCTTGGTATCTTGATGCTTAACATGAGATTTCCCATGGGCCGTGGAGTAACAGTGATATGTTGAATTGGTTCATCTTGTACACTGAATCCCTCTGCGTTCCTACATAGAACACGCGCTTGATAAGCCCCTCTGATAAGCAAGTTCGAAAATTTAATGGACAAGATTGAGTTCAGTAAAATATTACATTTGATTATTAGAGTTGGTTCTAAAACTCATAATTTTGTAAATTTTACAATGTCATGTTACTTTTGTAAATTTTGGTCCAATCAAATTGAATAATAGTTGTACGGATTTTAGTGAAGGAAGTTCTTGAATATGGAAGCTCTCCTAACCTGAAAGGACCATAATTTGTGTTTTCTAGACTGTTTTTTTCTCCAGATTTTACATCCTAGAACACTAGGCTCACCGGAACCATTTTGCTCATTTCTTCAGGCTATCCATAGAGGGTTGTGGCATTATTACATGTATTAAATCCATTGGTGATTGGCAAGATTCGAACCCTGGTCCTCGGGTACCAAAGTCCCTTGCTTAACATGCCTAAGAAGCTTATGGTGGATTCCGAATCACAGGGTCATAGCATTATCATATAGTTAAAAGCCATTGGTGATTGATATGGCTTGAACCCCGCCCCTCAGGGCAGGAGTTTTGCACTCTAACTACAGTCTCACGGATACCAAGGACTAAGGATGATTTTCCATAACGCCCTCTACAGTACAGTAAATTTCAAAACCCTTTTCTAGCCTACAGACCTGCGTCGGAACTGCGCTGGATGAGTAGATACGGTAGTGCAAAAGAAGACTTGTGACTGAAATGTGACGAAATTCCAAATTTGTTTATATTTTTTAATGGCTTGTGTTTGGGATTGAGTTAAAAGATCCTTCTCACAAAATGAACTAATAATGTTAAACTTAAATCGTAAACTTATTATGTCAATGAGTTTTGTATTAACTTTGGCACTAATTTCAATCTCTACCTAGTAGAACATTTTGTTAAAGGCTTTGACATAAGTTATGTGATACTTTAAAATTTAAAAATATTGTGACAACATAAAAATAACCCTGGTGGTAGACGAGTTATTTGCGGCCAAAATCGGTCGCCTCTAAAATTCAGATTATGCAGACACACATTCCTTCGCTGATTAATTTTACTTGTCGACATTTTAGTGCACAACGTAAACAATCGCTAGTAGTGGGAAAATGTTCAATGGTAAACATGCAAACTGTAAAAGTGTTGAGGGAAATATTGTGAGCGGCGAGCGGAGAGTTAAAGTTGCACAGTCGAGTTGCAGTGATGAGTTTCATCCGCTAATCGCCTCTCAGATTTCCTCTTCCGTTCTTCCCTCTTATTTTCCCTCCATTTTTATCTTTGCTCCACTCATTGGGCCAATCAAGTTTTCTGCATTGTTAAAAGTTTATTCTCCTTCACTTATTCCCCTTGTAAACTTATCTGTGTGCCGCTTTTCTTTAGCGTTTTCTCTGAGATGTAAAATTGGCGTTTAGTAAATTTGGATTTAATTTTTCATTTTGTCAAATGAAATCAATGTGAAATTAAATATGATTGCAGCAGATAGTATAATGATGAGTATTGCAAATGTTTTGAAATATGGAACCGATATATTTTATATTGATTTTGTTAGGAAATTGGACATTTGATTACTCACGAGCAATGAAAAATATTGCAAAGTTTGATTCAGCTCTTAACACGCCCACCAGTTGATACTTTTCTATAGGGAGAGCGAGTTGGTCTAGTGGCAGAGCTCGGGGCTTCGGAACCTAAGGTCCCGAGTTCAAATCCCGCCTTTCACTAATGGATTTTATCAATGTGATAATGCCGTGACCCTTTGAATAGCCTGGAGTAACGTTTAAAACAGTTCTGCACTAAAACCTAGCACCCTAGGATGTAAAGGTGGGACATATAAAACCCTCGGGTTTGAACTTGGTTTCTCCTTCAAATCTGGAGGCTGAGGGTTTGAAACCTGAACCTAGCCACATTTTAGCATTGGGACCATCAATTAATGATACTCTTACAAAATATCAGCAAGAACTGTTAGGACCATTCTCTTGCAGAAAAAATACCAACAGCGTTCTCACACGTAAAGGAAACGTTCAAATATGTTGTACAACCAACTTCTCCATTCAACTCAGATTCAACACGTCCACGACTTCGACAACCCCTTCTTGTAGCGACATATTGAAGTGTGAGAATCAACAAGGCCTCTCGACTCTAGCACCAAGGTCTTGGACAGTCTCGTCGATAAAGTCTTGACGAGGACACTTACTGTCAACACGTTGAGCGTTGAGGCCGGTTGTATCGCTGTAGTTACCACCGCACTCGATGTCACGTGAATAATAAATACAATAATGAGACTCAGCGCTGCCAACCGACCTTGCGTTGGGGACTCTAATGGTCTTTGTCGGTTTCCGTGCAAATGGTAATTCTGTCATTTGTAAAGGTAATCATTGCTCGATAAAAACTGTTTCCCAACATTCGCAACGGATGTTTGTGTTTTGTGATTTCGTGACCGGCGACACGAGTACAACGATTTGATCGATTGGGAGTTCATAGTTCAGTACATGTTAGATTATAAAATGCATACACACTCATCGTTATCATAATAAAAAACTAATTAATGTTTATATTATTTTTAACAAATAATTGAAGGAACGTATACCGATTTTATTTTGGCATAACGAATATATTTTTGGACATATATTTGCATTATACCTTGGACTTATAAAAAGTTACCCGAAAACATATCTTTTGAATTTGAGTCATAATCTAAGGCCAAATAAACTATTGAGCTGACTCGACTACGATCCAACGCACTGTGTCATTTTGAGTTGAGATTGTGACCAGCTAAATCGCATCTAAATATAAATGTAAGATCAATGCAATATAGGTTATATGCCTCATTTAGGTTTTTTCCTAACTTCAATCAGTCATTTTTTTAAATCAGGACCACTATATACTATAAAACCAACAGCAAAGACAGCTTGTTCAAATTTTGAACTATTGACTTTGTGGTACTTAAGTTTCTCATAATCTAAACAGCCCTTTGAGTACTAGATCTCTATAAGCTACCCAGCTCTTGAAGCGAATTGATAACCTATAATTTTCAACTTATATATTTTTATGTTTCTATATTTTATTTCCGAAATTTCGGGACCAAAAGCAATCACCTTCAGTATTTATATTGTGGATAAACCAATTGACCCACGGCGACGTTGGAA